GATCACTCGTTACTCCTCGGTGTGTATCGTCGTGCTGTTGCTTTTGTCAAAGAATCGATTAATTCAACTTCAATTCTGAAGTGAACAATAAGTGAATTTTCTCAGTGTTTTTTTGGGTGAACAGAGTCTCTCGGGAAATTTCGGGAGAAAAGATTGACGACATGAGACGCGTCAATGTTTGCAAATAGCAAAAAACCGCTCGAAAGAGAGAGAGAGAGAGAGAGAGAGAGAGAGAGAGAGAGAGAGAGAGAGAGCTGTATACAAGACATACGCACAAGAACGCACAAGACATGTAAAAATTGAAAAAATTGCGAAACCAAGAGAACAAAGAGACTAAAATTCAATCCTTGGATGGACCTTGATGGCATATCGCGGGCTGAAAGAAACTTCGATCTACGAAGCGACTCCTCGCTTCAACGCATCGACTGATCGCTGAAAGCCGCAAGAAAAATTTCTCCGCGGGATATCGCGCCTATTCCAGGAACGAGAGGTTTGCAACCTCTCCGTGTCTTCATGCAGATCCGTTCCTGATCGTTCGTTACACACAGCCGTGATCTCGCACATGGGCGTGCGAGCGGGCGTGCGTACGTGCGTGCGCGCGCGAGAGCAGAGGACGGCGATTACGCAACGTGAAAGTCGCCGATGGAATTCACTCTTACTTCGAGCTCGCCCTGACCTCCGGTATGGAATGAGAGCGATCTGAATAACCCCGGGGGGCCGGCTGTGCGTATTTGGCAACGGGCCCGCGGCCCGCGGGCCGCACTTTTAACGAGCAGCGGTAGAGCGTCGAGAGAGCGTCCCGCTCCTTTCTTTCCCGGACGATTAGCATACGCGCGCGCCCACGCTTGCGTAAAACGTCGGATTAAAACTAGATTCGGAGCGCGCGGCAGCACGTGCGCTCTTGAAACAGGCCGGCGATAATATCAGGCCGCGGCTAGGAGCGCGCGCGACGTGCTATTCTCGCGAGTCACGAATCTCGAGAAACCGGCGATTATGTATATACGCGACAGCCTAGATGAATATTTAATCGCGGCTAATCGACGCCTCGGCTCATTCGTGTCGCGCGCGTCTCGCATACGTAATTCGCGTCTCCCGGCATCCTCAATGTCAATGTCCGTGCTGATCGCCTCGGTTATTTCACGCGTTTAGCCTTGTTTGTCGCGCGACGCCGGATTCTTCCCGTCCTTAACGTCTCATCGACTTGCTGACGTCGTCGACTGGCTGTGACTGACAGACGCGAGTCCGCCTCGAACGCGTTCGTTCGCGCTTCGCTTCTCGCCGATTGTCTCGAGAGATGTTGTCGTCGACAAATGGAGAAGCAAGGCGTTTTAACGCCGACCCGTCTCACAAAATCACCTCGCACCGCAACGGATTAAGATATTACCGTGGCGTGCTTCTATCGAGATTACAAGCAGCGGGACCTCGCGCGATCGGCGATTCAACGAGCGGACTTGTACTCTGCTGATACTGCGACGTGTTTGAGTAACGGTTCGCACACCGAACCATGAAGAGGCTACCGAGGAGCCCGGCAGACTCGTATCGCACGCCATAAATAATCGAGTTACGTGCGCCACGCTCTCTCTCTCTCTCTCTCTCCCCCCCCTCTCTCTCTCTCTCTCTCGCGGTTCTTCTCCTTCTTTTCGCCTTTTTTTGCGAGCAACGAGAGAGAGACCGTTGCCTTTCAGCTATACATCTTCATTAAATCCGCGAGCAATTATTACGATCATCGCTGATGATCGGAATGATTGCGCTCAACGGAACACAGATAGGAGAAAAAGAGAGAGAGAGAGAGAGAGAGAGAGAGAGAGAGAGAGAGAGAGAGAGATCTCTCCTCGAAAATGATTCTGTGTTCGTTCCAGGAGAGGGAAGCAGGAAGAGAACGTTAGAGAACTAACGCCAACGTCACGATAACGATAGTTAAACGCATCGCTGGCGATACCAATAAGATTACAATCTGTCGTGCTTTCTGTGCGTGAACCAATTAAGCGAAAGATGAATTATTACCGGTTTCTCAACCTGACATGGCGCAACACTAGGCGTTCGAGGGGTAGGGACGCAAGAGGGGGGCGAGGAGAGCAGGCAAGGCAGGGGTGTGAGACGTGTAATGCGAAATCGAGGGCGAGATTGATCTCGGTTGAAGCTCTGATCAGCCGAGCGCTGATGAATGAACCGGCTCGCTTGTAAAAATTGTAATGATACGATCGTAATCGCGACTTCCTCGTCGCGCAGGAAAAAAGTGAGCTCCCGGATCGACCCGCATCGTGCGCTTTGCGGAAGTCGAGCCGAGACGCGAAACACGAAGTGCGAGCGCGCGCGTTTTCTCATCTTTATTATGCGCCTTGCGGCGAGTCGCGAAAACTGCGCTGAACGAACGAGCGCGTGCAAGCCAGTCGTAAATCGTAAATCGCGCGTAATGGCAAGTGCACGCACCGCATGATGGTTGCGTAAACGATCTGACAGCTATTGGCCGGCTGCGACTCGGCCCGAGTATGATTTTATAGTAATCCGCGCTATGATAGCGCTGCTCGCGCGTAATGGCGAAGCGAGATATCCGTGCGCTAATAAGCGCTTTATCGGACGGACTCTCGTCGCCTGTAGCTCGCGAGAGATACTTTCTCTTCATTCGACACCGCTCGCGTTTCATTCGATCGGAACTCTTCCAGCGCTGCGCTTTTCGCTCGGTCGTCATGCTTCGGATTCTCACGACGTCTCGCTTTTCTCCGCTCGAGGAGATAATAGGCGTTTTGCGCCTACTGAATTTGTCTCGCGGACACGCTGACAACACGGAACAGGGAAACAAGAAAAGTAGAGAGAGGGGGCGAGAGAGAGAGAGAGAGAGAGAGAGAGAGAGAGAGAGAGAGAGGAAGGAGACCTAATTAAGCGCATCCGAGCGAATTTACGACGCGCCGTTAACAACCCGCAGCGCCGGTGCGCGTTCAACTCCGTCTTCCGACCGAAGGGACATTACAATTTAATCTGGCAATCAAAGCGAGCGAAGGCCGATTAACGATAAATCCGAGATCGGCCGTAAATGTCGCGACGTGCCGATAGACGATAAAACGCAACGCGCGATATTCATTCGGCGAGGCGGACGCGTCGGCATAGAAAGCGCGAAGTCGCTGCGAGCAAAAGTGAGGGAGGGAGAGGGAGAGAGAGAGAGAGAGAGAGAAAGCGAGCGGACCTATTGTAAATCAATTGAAGACGGCGGAAACGCGATGTAAATCGCCCGCGAAACGAGGATTCGACGATTTATACGGCCGTATTGTAAATACCGTGCCGCCGCCGCCGCCGCCGCCGTACAGCAAACACGCGTGTTTATATTCGACTATAAATTTCCGCGCAGCGCCGCGCAAATCGACGACGGATTACCGATTTAATCTGCGCTCGCGTGACGCCGCGCGATCTCGGGATCGCCGAGGTTCCCCGCGGCTTCTCTCGATCCTCGCGATCGATCTCGCCTGGAAATCGTCCGAGACGCGGCTCGAGTAGATCGAACAATACCGCGTTGGCTTGTTCGTTGTGTCGCGCGCGACCTATATGTGCGCAGGACGAACGACGAAGAAATTCAATCACGAAGAAAAGAAAAACGACCACGTGAAGTTTGGCACATTTAGGAAATTCACCGGGTTCTCAACGACTACGCCACCGACTTTGTATCTGCCATAAAGTACGACTACCTTGCAATCGAAACGTTTGCCTTCTATTGAGGTGTAATAAAGAAATAATTGCGCACGATTAACTGCGGTTAGGGCTCTCCTTTTCTTATCCGAGTCACTTTTCTTATTCGGAATTTATCAATCGTTTGCGGTTCTCTATGTCCAGAATGAGCAAACATTGTGCTCACATTCGCTCTGAGCAAAAATATCTAAGCAAAAATCTTGCAATATTCCTGTCGCAAGAAAAGCAATCTCAAAGACTTTTTGTTCTCACGCAAATCCTTTCTACTTTAATTCCTGCTAGATAGATATTTTGGCAAATAATTAAGAACCATAAGAGGCTGATGTATCGATTTATCAAGTTGAATTCCACACGCGACGAGAGAGGCTAAGAGAGAGAGAGAGAGAGAGGGAGAGAGAGAGAGAGAGAGAGAGAGAGAGAGAGAGAGAGAGAGAGAGAGAGTGTATGGACATAGCGTTTAAAACTTCAAGTCGCTCCTGTAACGGTTAAGAGGAAGTAATCGCGACGATGGTAGTCCGAGGCGCGCGTATAACGGTCGCGGGTTTAACGAAAATTGCGCGCGACCGGGCGCGTTGTGCGCGGAGGCATATAACTCGATCAGCGTTCTACGGCGACTTAAATTACCTTTATGAAACTGGGTCTTAGGATCTCGTTAAGCCGGGCTATAAACGTCGATGTTAGTTTCGAACGATCGGCGGAGCGACTGTCGTCGTCGTCGCCGCCATTACTCACGCGCGCGCTCGCATTAACAAAGTGGGTCGAGAATCGACATTGTGATTTCGCAAAGGATTATTAGTCGGCCGCGGCCAGCGTTTACGCGGGCGCGCTCGCGCCGACGTAGCTTTATGAAACCAGTCGCGGCGCGGCGCGGCGCGGCGTGCCGCACCGCGCCGGCCGGTTTTTCTCTCCCCGCTCGGTGCGAAAGCGCGAAGCCCCCAAGTGGAACGAGTTTCCGCGCCGTGCGCGTACGGCAACGGTAACGTTTGTCACGTTTCCGCGGGGAACGAGGCTCCGCGGAGCGTTAACGAACGCTGCGGACATGGACGAGCGACATAGACGCGCCAAATGACGACGCGCGAGCGCGCGACACGTGGTCGTCGGCGCCGTCCGCGCCGCCGCCCGCCGCGAGAAAGCGAAATCCCGCGTCAATGAGGTGTGTCGCGTGCGATACCCGCGATACCGGAGAACATCCGGATAGATCGGAGACTCTCGCGAATGTACGGCGTGCGCATTGTACATCTCGCGTAAGGAAAGAGCGCGCAAACACACTCCATTCCTCCCTCCCGAGTCGAATCTCACGCGCAATTCCTGTTGATTTACAGGCTGGTTCTCGGTGGTCTCCAGCAACAGCGGCACCGGAAACGCCAGGGTGTACAGAAGAGTCGGCGCGTTGGTGCGCGCCGGAGTGCCGGCGTTCTTGCTCGCCAAGCCGTTGAGAGCGTACACGCTGACGCATTCCAAAATGGGTGAGTCTCGCATGTGTTCGTCGCGGCTTGTTCCGCTCTTTGTTCTTTTTTCTTTTTTTTTCTCTCTTTCTCGCCAGAGCGCCCGGGGACTTTATTAGGCGACGCGGCGCGGCGCGGCGCGGCCGGCCGATCGAATCGATAACGCGGCTGACAGTCGTGTCGAAAGCACGAAATCATGAATTTTTATTAAGGCGACGGTCCTCCCGTCCGCCGGCGCGGCGTCGCGGACCGCGCGAGACGCCCGTCGAATTCGGCGATGATTCTGGCGGGAGATAATCAGCTTACGGCGATTTACATAATTCTTCGGCGCGCGAACGCGCTCCAGCGGGTCAACCGGACGGAGATTACCCACATATCCCGCGTCACATCTGGCACCCGTCGAGAGTTTATTATCCCGGCCAACCCAGGTCCGCATTTTCCACGGGCCAACTGTCGCGGTCGCGGCGGTTATCACCCGCTGCGATCTGCCGGTGGAAATGCGGCCCGCAACGCGAGCTATAAAACCGCGATTTGCGCAACCAGCCCCGTTACCGGCCTGCTTCCCTTCCGCCGAAACGCGACGTTTTCCTCGGCAATTCTCAGACCCGACGTAGACCTCAAGACTCGCAAACGCGACAACACGGATGACGATCGTTCTTCTTCGGCCGTTCGGCTGGCGTGCGTCGTACGCGCAATCTAACGGAGCCGCGTCTCGAATTCGAGAATAGACAAATAATAGAACTCGGATCACGTTTCCTATTTGCTTAATGACAATGCCAGGAGGGCCGCTCCGACGTACCGCGGGCAAGCTATTATTTAGAGACGCAAAGGGCCCCCGACACGTCGATTCTACGCGCGCACGCACGCACGCACGCACACAGACCCCGGTCTCGCGGCTGTCGGATTATTTGCTCGAGTGCGGTGACTGGCCGTGACACGAATGTCAATGTGTCCGTAATGCGGCTGTCCGCTCGCCGCAGCCGTGCGTTCCTGCGTTTCAACGTGCGTACACGCGCGCGCGCGCGCGTAGGCGAGCCTTACGCGACAGGCTGGCGCGTAACGTAATAGGCACGCGGCTCGCGGTGAAAGCTATCCTTACGTTACTACGACTGCGATTAAAGCATGCAACGATTATGCTCGCGCGCGCGCGCGCGGGAAAGGGGGATCCCCGCGCTCTCTCTCGCATCCCTCTGCGGGCTCCTCCTCAGCCGACCATACCTCCGCAGCGAGAAGAAGGGGCCCGCGACAAGTCCCGTAAGTCTGTACGCGCGAACAAGCGCGAGTCGAGAGAGTCGCGTCCGCGTCGTCCGTTAGCCGGCGCGTTTATTGTCGTTAATTGCCTCTCGCCCGCCCCGCCTTTTGATCGTACGCGCCAGCGCGAGACACCGGCTCTCGCGAGAGAGAGCGGCCGCTTGCAACGGTACCCGGGTATCATCGACGACGACGACGACGACGACGACGCGTCGCGCCCGTCGCTTATGGAAATCAACGCTGCGCGTTCCTCGGATATCGCAGCAGCGAGGAACGCTCGTCCGCACCGGCTATGTTATTACGTCAGAAGCGCGCGCACGTTTCCTCGACACGCTGCATTCTTGTTAAAGAAGAAAAGTCGGGGAAAAGCACGCGCGCGCGTAACGGTGGGAAAAGATTCGCGAGTGTAGCTGGAATGTGGGAAGTGGGCCTTCCAGCGCAACTCACGATTCGTCCCGGAGTTCCAAAGTTCACGACGGGAGTCGAACGGCAGCACGTTGATATCTCTCTCTCTCTCTCTCTCTCTCTCTCTCTTGGGAAGGAGAGAGAGAGAGAGAGAGAGAGAGAGGGAGGGACTGTGTTGCATATATTTTTCTTTCTACATTCGCACGCACAAAGTCTGCTCCACATTGCTGCGCAAAAGGACACAGGGTGGCTGCGAGGAGGGCTCGCTGCGGGGTGGAACGTGATAGACGGGCGGCTCCTTGTTTGACAAATCAGCGGGATAATCGCGATCTATTCCGCGAGATTGATCTCACGTGAGCTCGACGTTGCTACCGATCTCTAGCTGGCGCAACGCCACTCGTCGGCGTCGCTCACGCGAATACACGAATGAGTCGACGCTAATGAGCTAATTAGCAGCGCGCTCGTTATTAACTCGCGTGCCGCGCCTTTCGTCGGCAGAGGAGAGAGGCGTCCCCTTTCGCCAGCGCCAATTAATTACGCGAGCGAGAGAGACGCGATTCTTCTCGCCGCGGCGGGTGCCTCGCGTGTACCTCGACGACAAACTTCGATTAATCGTCTTAACGCGGGTCGTTTCCGCCGGCGAACGCCCGGTCAGGGTTAAACGAAGAGACTCTCGGCCGTCTGGACGAATTCGAATCCGGACGAATGGAGGGAAAGGATTTTAATCGCGTCGTTTAATCCGATCGCCGAATTCAAGTTGTTCCTTCAAGAATAATAGCGGCGACGTAACAGTGTGCACGTGCGCGCAATACACACCGTCCCTCCGTCCATTTCTGTCGCAGAGAACGGCAACTTGCGAGCCCACTACACGAAGACGACGGTGCGCGCGGGCGAGGTCCTGCGGCTGACCGCGGTCTTCCAGGACACCCGTCGCGCTCCCGTCGCCGGCGGCGTGCCCGGAGCGGTCGGCGGGGTCCCGGAGGGCAAGTGCTCGAGGTCCTCGGAGAGGGATCAGTACGCCCAATGCTTGGACTCTCACGGACACGAGCTCTTCGCGCCGCTCTCGGCCAGAGGCGAGTTCTACGCGACCTGTCAGAGCGGCAGCCTCGACACCGGCAGCGACGCGGTGCTCTACAGGGTCCATCAGCTCGCCAGGAGGGACCTTCCCCTGAGGGTAAAGTTCCGTCGCCGACACCTCGAGATTAACGTCATGTAGCGCGCTTGTCCTTGTCTCTCTCTCTCTCTCTCTCTCTCTCTCTCTCTCTCGCGATATTCTTATAACGTCAATGGTCGCGATATTGTTTTATACAGCGATAAGAAAAAGATTCTCAGCGCGAATTTCACGAGACATCCCAAGCGAATTTTCATTTCCCCTCTCAGCTGCTATTTTCTTTTTCTCCATCTCTCAATTTGCGTTTCCGGACAATTCTGACTGGTATAAAGATCGCATCGCGATCTTTACACCAGTCTGGCATTTATTGGAACGAATCTTTAATATCTCCAATTTCACGGGGTCTTATCTCGAAGGATAAGCCGCAATTCCCCCCTGACAACGACCGTCCGTGTGTCACCCCCAGGTGCGCTTAGTCGCCGGACCCCTGCCCATACCGCTGCCGCGAGATTACAGCGGCCTGATGCAGCTGGAGAACGCCACGAGGGGACCTATAGTGCTCGGTTGCGCGGTGCCGTTGATGCCCGAGCGACCTTTACCCAACTCTACCGTACCGGAACTCTTGGAGCTCGTCGCTACCGGCCCGACCGCGCCCCGGGTGAAGCGAGCGCGACTGGGCTGCCCTTCCGAGGCGAGACTGCTCGCCTCGCCGAAGATGCAGCGATTGCTTTCGGCCTGCAGGTAAGACACGGGGTTTTTCAGGCGGAAATAACCGTAACTTGCACCTCCCCCATTCTCGAGCAAAAATTTCGTCAGAAAAAGAGGAGGACGAAAATCACAGCTCTCGCGACGAGCGATTTCTCTCTCTCTCTCTCTCCCTCTCTCTCTCTCTCTCCCCCTCCCTCCCTCCCTCCCTCTCTCTCTCTCTCTCGATGAATCTCATCCTTACGCGGCGGCGTATACACGCGTCTCGACGTCTCGGAGATAACGCAGGTACGATATCATCACGCGCTTTCGCTGCTACTTTGTAGAAGAGCCCTAGATCAGCGAGCCACCGAGCCGCGGGTCGCTCCGCCGAAACCCGCGACCAACAACAGCCAGCTGAAGGAGCTGCACCTGAAGGAGATCAAAGCGAAGCCAGAGGCGAAGCCGATCCTGCAGAGCCTGAAGGAGGGCTTGGAGCACATCAAGCGAACGACGATACGCGAGCGGGGCAACGGCCGCAGCGCCGGCAACAACCACAGCTTCCTCGAGCGGATCTCGAGGATAGCGCAGGGTGGCAAGAGCAGGAACCCGGCCAAAAAGTCGGCGTCTTTCACGTTCGCGGTCCGGCCGGAGATCGGCATGCGGTCGCCGGAGCGCTACGCCAGCCTGGAGTCCGACGCGAACCTCACCGGTCAGGCGTCGCCGTCGTCCAGGCAGCAGGTGCAGCGCTCCATCTCGACGAGCGTGCTCGAGGTTCAGACGAGCGATAGCCCGACAGACATGGATCCCCCGTACTCCAAGGTGAGAGACAGCCTGACGCCGTTGCCACCCACGCCGCCACCCAAGCCCGAAGAGATCTACGCCGAAATCTGCGAGCTGGGTAGCGGCGCCGGCAGCAGTCCGTCGTCGCGCGACTCTCCCGAGGAGAAGCCACCGGGCAAGTGCCAAGGCACCAGGGAGCGCGATCGCGGTTACGTGAAGCTCGCGTTGTCCCATTCGGAGGTGATGTCCGACGTGTCGGCGAGTACCGGTGGCGGGGACGACGAGGAAGGCATTTACAACACCGTGTGCTGAGGAACGCGCGCGCGCGCGCGCGCGCGTACGCCTCTTCCGCGCCGGGGAATCGCCGCGCGATCGACGGTAACTGGCCCCGGGGTCGACCGGAACAAATGACGTGACGTGCGAGGGGTCGGGAGGTCGCGAGAGTTCCTCGACGTGGCCGCGGATATCGATAAACACGCCTACAGGTGCGAGTGGTATTGGCGGCGAGCGTTTGTCTTGCGAGCTCGAATCGCTCGCGAGAAGGCGTCTCTCTCTCTCTCTCTCTCGCTCTCGCTCTCTCTCTCTCTCTCTCTCTCTCTCTTTCTCTCTCTCTCTCTCGCTCTCTCTCGTATTCTCGCAAGCTTTCATGCTTCCCGCAACGCGATCGGACGGACGAACGTACGGACGGACGGACGGACGGACGGACGGACGGACGGACGGTCGAGCCGGTACTCGACGAGACTTCCTTTTTCAGCGGCAAAAATCGCCGGGACGAAGAGAGACTGAGTTTCTTATCGATCGAGAACTCATTTTACTTTCGTACACGCGCGTCAAATTGAAAACTGTTCTCCCCAGTGGCCGTCGATTCTCTCGGTCGTTCTATTATTAGGAAGGAGGGGGGAGGGGGGGAAGACACGAGCGCTTTCCGACGGGGTGAAGAAACGCGGAGAGACGGAAGCGATATGTATTGATCGCATCCGTGAACGAACGAGCGAGTGAGCGAGTCGATGAGAATCGGGATTTACGGCTCGCCAAGGAAATTGCTCCGCGGCGGCGGCGGCGGCGGCGGCGGCGGCGGCGGCGGCGGCGGCGGTTTCTTTTGCCGCCGCGGGAGGATCCGGGCGTCGAGGAGTCGCTGACGCGAACGCGGACGTCCACCAGCGGGAGGATACCGTGGACCCGCGCTCGCGAGCGTGAGCGCGCGGGATGATTTACAAGGCTGTTGACCGAAGAAAATGATCCCGTAATTACGGGCCCCAGTGTGTATGCTGCTGCTGCTGCTGATGCTGCTGCAGTAACAGCAGCAGTAGTAGCGGATGTAGCGGGGCACGTCGGGGATAGCACGCAGAGGCCGCATCTCGCCGTGGCTTCCGTCATTAGAGAATCTGTCGTCTCGCGAGAGGCGTGTTAATAGTAGCGGCCTCCGCGCGATTACCTCGGCCACGGCCGCTGAGTGACATTGATGTCGGAAAAACGCGAGCGCGAATTAGCTTCGCTCGGGAAGTATCCGCCGCCGCGCCGGTCCGACAGACTCGTCGCCTGCGTCGTCGGCTGCGAGAGCGTACGCTCATCGTGCGGACGGATCAATCGATTTGACCTCGGGACGAAACGGACATTTCTCTGTCGTTCGGGAGACGATTCGTTCGCTGTTCGGACGAAACTCAAGTTCTCTTATCTAGCCTAAGGCTCTTCGATTAATTGATTTTCGGACGAGAGTGAGATTTTTTTTCATCATCGGAAAGGCGTCTCCGTTACGGAAGATAACGATATTCAATTCGCGCTTAATGTCCCCGGCAGCGCGGCTGCTCCTGGTGGGCTTCGGCTGGCCACGTAATAAGACCGTCACAGCGGGATGTTTATAGCTTCGTCGCGTCGATCACGAATTTATATCGCGTTTTGTACGACAAACGAGACAGGGATTTCCCAACCGCGAGCGGCGGCGGCGGCGACGGTACACGGCGGGGGCCACGTGGAGTCGTCGACGAGGGGAACGTGACACGGGTCATTGAACGTCGCGATCTAAACTTTCCGGACACGTCCGGAAGACGCGAGCCGGCCGGCGGAACGCGCGGTAATCCGCCAGCGCGGTCGCCAGCGCGGTCGCCAGCGCGGAGAAATCGACGGTAGAATGTAAACGAGCCGGTCGGCGGCTTCCAGGAAGAGGAAATTACGGGCGTCCTTCGAAGGTCTAGGTCTTCCTCCGGATCGTTCGGCCACGGACGAGCGGTGGACGGCAGCGAGGAGTCTGAGCTGTCGGACCGCGGGGCGATGCTCTGCGACGATTAATCCATTAGCTCGTCATGCTTCGCGGCGTTTGGCTGCCTTTTCGTGTACGATGACCCCAAAGTTTCGCGCGCGCGCGCGCGCGCGCGCGTTCTTGCCCCACGATTGCGTGACGCCTCGCGATTGGCTGTTAAACGCGTGATTACAAACCTCGCCGGTACGTAGCAGGTACTGCGGCTCGAAACGCTTCGAGGAAACCTCTCCTCGGCCTTTCTCCTTCGTCTTTCCTCGCCTCTGCTGCTCGCCGTCTCTCTCTTTCTCTCTCCTCTCCCCACCCTCTCTCTCTCTCTCTCTCTCTCTCGGTCTCTCGCATGACGGTGCGCGCGTGTACTCGCTCGCTCACTCGGTCGAGCGAGGATGATGAAGAAAGGGCGTAAAAATCGAGGGAAAGACAGCACCGAGATGCGTCTAATGGGAAATACCCGCGGGAGGACGCGAGGGAACCGCGGGAGGATCTCGCCGAGGATCCTAACGGGCGTAATTTTCTCTGATCCGGCGTCCCTTCGACGCCCGGCTCGCTCGAATCGCTCGCGTGCGCGTCCGCGCATGCAAGGACGATGTAATATTTGTGTAGGTTTTGTGTACATTTGAATGATGTTGCAAAGTGGAAATAAAGACGGAACGTTTCTACGACGAAGTAGTACGTCGCCATAAAATGTATTCCTTTCTCCCCGCCCTGTTCGGCATCCTCGTCCGTGTTACACTAAATAGCGGGACCGATTTTACGTTGAAGCGCGATCACGCAGGTAAGTGGCTCTCGAGGGATTAACGTGTTTAACGTCTCATGAGGAGACTCTCTCTGAGGCTGGTTTAAATTTGATTGAGTTGTAACGGAAGGTACTCGGGATGCGCGCGTCGACTTGAGAAATAGGAAAAGGACCAGTGCTCGGTCCTCGACCGAGTCGAAGACACGATTTTTTGCAATAGTTACTAATTTCACGATTTTACGAAGAGAAGATGAAATTGCTCGTTTCTCAGCGAAATGATCTCAGCGTTAAAATGTCTCACTTGATCGTGTTGTTTATCGTTATTCCTGCCGAACCAAGTCGCGGAAGGAGCGCAAGGAGCGTTATTAGATGTGACGAATCAGTACATACCTGTAAGATTTACGTTACATTCTAAAGTCAGTTGTATTCGTTCATAGTTGTAAATTATTTAGAATCTTTGATTGGAAATAGTTATTCGGCTGTTATTCCGATCGAAAGTGTGTTTCTTGTATGAAATATAACAATAAATGCAGACACACGTCGGCGAGTGATCGAAGATAACACGCGCTGTGAATGCTGATCTAAATTTCGATTCGGCTATTTCTCGACCGTGCGCCGAGAATGTTCCATTGAAAACGGAAGCTTCTTGTATAATGAATAATATGACATACCTTGAAGATATTCGATGTCTGATGACCTACTCTGCCTTCGTCCCAGCCTGCCTTCGTCCTCCGTCCTGCCTTCTTTATCCAGCATCCTGGCTGTGCTCCTCCATCACGGCACTCGCACTTGCGTAGATACGACGATTCAAAGATATATGTGTTAAATAACGCGACGCCGACGCGAGAGCCTGATTAAGTATTTCAACGGCCGACGAAGTATCTCGATCGCGCGGAAGGAATGATAACGCTTCCGATACACGCTTCGTCCGTGTACGTACGCGTACACGCGTCGCTCGATCGTCGGCCCGGGACGTAATGAAGACGTTCGGGAAATCACGCGATACACGAGGCTCCGGTGTGTCTCGATAGTGTTGTCGAAATGTTGACAAAGCTTGACCGCCTGTAGTGGTGGAGCGACAACAGTTGGCAATAGGCACGGGATAATGTAAATATTGTCGGTTTTGATATCGTGGCGCGACGCTTGCTTTCTCCTTGCTGGCTCTTGTATTTACATCGAACCTTTGAAATATCGAACGCAATGCCGCCGGACTTCCGTCAACACGTGTTTCTTTTTTGAGCGTCGTATCTATACAAGGTCGTACACACGCAGGACACCGGAACGTGAACGGCGATGGCGTTATATTTCCAACGCCAATAAAAACTAAACAGGGATTATGAAGAAATAAGATTTGTCTTATTCATTAATTAAATTTGCCTACTAAATTATTCCACATTTGCTTATCATATATATCTATCCGTAATTAAGCAGATTACGTAATCGCTTGTCAAAATTAAGAATAAGTATCAAGTGTAATAGAATATTAAGTGTATTAGAATATTAAGAGAATATCAGAGAAGAAATAATTCCGAGATGAGTCCTTTCCTAAGCACAACTCGACACAGACAAGACATTCAGCATTTGCTTATCGTACATATATATCCATTCATAATTAAGCAGATTACATAATCGCTTGTCAAAATTAAGAATAAATATCAAGCGTAATTAGAATATTAAGAGAAGGATATCAGAGAGAAGGAATATTAAATAATTCCGAAATGAATCCAAGGACAACTCGACATAAACAGGACGACACTGAGTAATCAGCTGTACCATCAAGATAGGTCAATAGTATTGTCAATAGGATCCTTCAAATTCGACGGAATTCAGTAGAGTCAACGTGGGGCGCAAGTCCCGAGTCGGAAACGGCCGACATGTGCGCAAATGTCTGTAATTTCGCCCGCGCAAGATCGGCAACGTGGGGAATTCGCGCGGTTAAACACACCGCGAGCGGCCGGCTCTCTGACTTTAAGGAATAATAATGCGAAACGATCGTCGGCGCTCGCGCCGGCTATTGGTCATTAATGTTTTACGAGCACGCAGCACGTACGCACAGCTGCGTCTATTCAATTATAGCCAAGTGTAGGGAGCCGAGGGGGAGCAGGGCTCAGACAACGGCCTCCCTTACGGCCTCCTCCCGCCGTCTCGCTGCCCTCGGCTCAACCCCCGTCGCGCGTCCACCTCCGCCGTCCTCCCTTGTCCCTCTTTATTTCTCTGTCGAGCATGGCAACGCGCATTTACGTCCATTAATATTAACGGCTCGAAACAACGATAATAACGGAGAGCCGCGGGGTTGCGGGGAGGTGTTCTTCCTTCGACGGTCACGTCGTGCAATGCGCTCTCCGCGGGCTGTCTCTCTCTCTCTCTCTCTCTCTCTCTCTCTGTTTCTCTCTCTCTCTCTCTCCCTCTCCTGAGCACGGCTCACGTGACTGTTGTTGCATGCATCATTCCCGCTGCGTGCATCTGCGAAGAGAGACGCGACGTCTCGAGGATCCCGACAATGCCAGGGAAAACACGACGATGATTTTTACCGCGCGACTCGGGAGAGTTCACGGCTGAGGCCGGCGCGGCGACGAGAGCCGCGTGTCATTACGACGAGGAACATTACCGGGGCCCGGGAGCTCCCTCTCGCTTCGAAGGACGAGGTACTTTTCTCCTCTCTCGGGATTCCATGAATATGTATGACAACATTAACGTGTATCGCTCTTTGGGACGCGGTCGGGATTAATTTCGCTAAGCGCGATGGACCGCATTCTCTCGCGGTGGGGTAACGTGTATATACGGTAATAACGCGGGACGCGAAGCGAATGAGACGGACGGTTGTTAGCGGTCGTCGTCGACGTCGCGGAAAATTGGCGGCGAGCCCGAAATGTGGGTTAACGCGATGCGAAAGGGGACGGATTAAAAAGCGCGATAGCGGCGGGCGCGGCGGTCGCCTCGTGTCTCTGCGAGACGCTATTATTATCGTAATTATTAGTATCGCGCGCGCGCGCTAGTGCGCTGAGCAAATATCGCGCGTGCGCGCGTTGGGCGCAAGAGGAAGAGGAGGAGGAGGAGGAGGAGGAGGAGGACGCGCGCACGGTGCAGATCGATCGGGAGAACGACGGGACGCTATCGAGATCCGGCAATCTTGGGGTCCACGGGTGCATATTTCAAGATCGGCATGCGTGAACGGTTTCAGGGCCGTCGGGTTGCTTTTGCGGTCGTGTGTAACTCAGCTTTACAACGCTAATGCGACGAACACGGAGCAGCGCGGAGGGGGGGGGGGTATCGTATTTCACAGACCCGGGTCGAGGCTCCGATCGCGAGGAGGCATGTTTTAATATGCAAATTAAAATGCAAATAATTCGCCCGCCCGCCCTCCGTTAATCCCTTGTCCTCCCTCGGTCGTCTACAACGTTTCTCTCTTATTCTTCCTAGGTGTATCTCTCGTGTACCTTTCGTCACTCCTCGTCCCTCCGAGGACGAAGACGCCGTGACCGCGAGAGATATCCTTTCTTTTTCTGAGTGGCCGTCCGGAGATGCCCATTCTGCAACACTTCTTTCTCCCGTCCTTTTCGTCCCGTCCTTTGTCTATTCGACAAGGTGCAGCCGTTCGTAATGATAGCTTGCAAGGCAACATATAAAAATGCCTCTCACCGATTTTGATGAGCTTTTTCGCTGCAGAACGGCCGAGAATAAAAGACACTTTTTTTTTACGCGGGCTTTCTCTACGTGCGTTTAGAGAGTGAAAATATGGTGTCTCTCTTATTTTCAGCTTCTTTGCGTGTTGCAAAGTCCATAAAGATCGGTGTTAAGACTTCGAGGCGCAAAGCATGCATACACAATCGTGGCCTTGCGTACGTTCCTCTAGAGAGTTGGATACGGGAGCTTACATTTTCAGTACAAACTAAAGACGTGTACGGCCGATCGGGCAACATTGTTAGAGCGATCGAGGCAACCGCGACTGAAATAGAAACGCCGCTACTTATATACGTTATAATGTTCGTGTAATTGAGTGTCGCCCCGAGAGATACAGCGGGGATTAAATTTAACCGAGCGAGAAAGAATACGCGACACGCATTCAGATCCTAACTCGAATCTGAAGCGTCACGTGGCCCCGCGACGGGATTAATCCGCAGCGCTGCGAGCGCATCTTTCCCGCGAGAATGAGGATATAAAAGGATTATATGTAGAGCGCGGCGAGATATATATATATATATATATATATATGTATACACACACACACACACACACATATATATATATATATATATATGCGTGCATCGGAACGGATCCTTGAGCTATCGCATGCGTAATGTCTTCATTCAGCCTGGCTCCTATCATAATCTCCGGATGATGAACGAGCGTCCTTTATGCGAGGACGCAGAACGGAGCGAGATTAAACGAAGAGTCATCAATAGGCCGGTCGCGCATTAAAACGGCCTGCGCTTGGTCTGCGTGCGCGCCCAACGGGGCGAAAGGAAAAAAGAAGAAAGCAAAAAATAAAGAATAAAGAAACGGAACGAGTCAATTAGTCCAACTCTGCCTGTCCAATCTGTCACAATATACAAAACTCTGTCTTTCTCTCCGTGTCTTTTTCCGCTCTCGCTTCTCGCGCGATCGTGAGCGCCTACTTCACTCACTCTCTCTCTCTCTCTCTCTCTCTCCTTTCTCCCTGCGCTATTCCGGATCACGTGCCGCGGGCGAGACATATCTCCGAGGCCGCGTTTTACGGCGCTCGGTTAACAAATAGCGTGTCGCTGAATGTATCGCCGCGTACGCGATGCTATCGCAACGACGTCGAGAAAAATTAAGCGGCGCGATTACTCACGAACGTCCCGCGTCGGTCGGCCGGCCGCGACGTGAAACTCGCCGCAGCTGCTATTTCGGTAGCAGCCGAGTTTTGCGTAAGTACCGACGCGGGCGCGCGCGCCACCGAGTCCTTATAAGTGCAACGTCGCCGGGGTGACCGGCGATATGTATCTGCCACGTAAGATCGATGCGCACCGGACGCGTGAGACCTGTGATCAAAAACGTGAGAGAGAAAGAGAGGAAGGATTCTTAATCTTAACCTTCCCCAATTAAAAATTGAGAGAGGCCGCCGCCTCTCATATGTCGTGCGCGTCGCTTCACGCGGAGCGAGGAGTCTCGAGATTCCGCGTCCTCGTAGAGCAATGCCTGCCTGCCGTTTTCACTTCGCGTCTAGCCTCATCACCGCGCGTTTTCACTCGAGAGCGAATCGGCGATCGATCGGCTCTTGCAAACTGCTGCGTCGCCTCTGCTGAACATTTCAAGTAGCAAATACTTCTCTCAGCAGTTACCTTAATTTTCCAGACACGTCTGACGGACATGTTTACGCTCCAGCTGCCAACTTCTATACTCAGTCGGAGCTGAGAAGGAGCCACCCAACCGAGAGCAATTCGCCGCGTTTCACTAATTATTTCGAGCGATGCACGCCGCGATACGCGCCTCTACCTCACCGTCCTCGGTCCTCAACGTGCGCGGCCGCGTCGCGCAATTAAAGGGATTAGCCGCGATCTACCTGGTGAAGCGATGTCACCGTGACAGGCGCGTCGTGCCGCCAGCTACACACGCGTGACATAATCGGTCGCGATGCCAAGAGAAACGGACCGGCCGGCCTGACGGGCCGCATCGCTGCATCGCAGAATGCAGCGGAGGCAGAGTCGCCGAGCAGCGTTCGATACACCTCGTTGCGGCAACGGCAACGGCAACGGCAACAGCAACAGCAACAGCAACAGCAACAGCAACAGCCGCAGCCGCAGCTGCTCGTCGGAACCCCCGTTAGACGACGAGAGAGGGTATACCCTATCGTCGCGGCCGGCGCTGTCCAATGCATACTAAGTAGTTCTAGAAAATCAGTTGTCGGTAGCTCGTAGCGCCGCGAGTCCGCGGAGGAATTGAATGAATCAGCCTATCCCGGCTGGCCTTGCAGCCTGTTTGCCAGTCGAGTGTACATACGCTTGCGTTCGCGCGCATGTGTGTGTGTGCGTTATATTATATGTAAAGGTATAGTGCCTGTGTGTGTGTGTGTGTGTGTGTGTGTGTGTGTGTGTGTGTGTGTGTGTGCGCGCAGGTCGTCACCAGCACGCTCTTTCGGTGCGCTACAGCGCGTTGCAGCCGACACGGACGGATTCACGAGTGAGAAAATACAGCGCGACGGTTCGTTTCGCGCGTTTATTCATCTAGATGCGCGGCCTGGCCACGCTGTGTGCGTATCTCGGCCGACGGATTGATTGATTGAAACATCAGCTGACGCGCGACAGCAATAAAACGGCACCGCTTTGTTTTTAAATTACGACGACGCTCCTGCCTGTCGGACC